TAACTGTAAACTTTTGGCGTTTTGCCTTTGCAATTAACATTAAATGGTCAAAACGAAAGAAGATGAGCGAGCCAACAACTTGAAGTTGTTGTTGTTGTTTTGTATTTACATGCTTCATACATATACAGGCATAGATACATATGCTTGTACATATGTATGTATGCATGGGCACACATAGACACGAACTGTTCCCAACTATTTGATATTTGATATATGGCAAGTAAAAAACATATTGCTATATTTTAATCGTTGAATGCCAATTTGTTGATATAGTTATGTTGATTACATTACCCAAATTTGAAATCGATCGGACAAAATTTATAACACAAACTATTCATTTGAAAAAGTGAATAAATATTAAAACCCCAATAATAAAATTAAATGCGATATATCGAAAATATCGATACTTGTGTTGATATATCGTAATACATGTCGAATACAAATACATCGAAAAACATCGTTTGAGAGTTATTGATTATAATACTGTATTCGATTGTACACTGTACACATACATACATACAAATTTATTTGTATGTGTACTGTAACTGTAAACTTTTGGCATTTTGCGTATGTAATGAACAGGCGTAAATGATCAAAACGAAAGAAGATTTGCGAGCCAATAACTTGAAGTTGTTGTTGTTGTTTTAAAAATTTTGATTTGAAACCATAGAAAACTATTTTTTACAATTAAACAACAGTGTTCGATAGCCCACTGCATACTTGTACATACAAACCTATATATGTATATAGGAATGTATGAACGTACATACATACTTATTGATGTACATACATACATATGTACATGCTATACATACAGACGTATGTACGTATGTAATACATATGGTGCTGGCGTAATTCATAATGCGAAATTCTTTCTAAGGGGAGAAATGTCCCCCCTGCCCAACCTGCGTACGCCCTTGTAGTCCGTTGTCCTAAAAACTCCTTATGCCAAATGTACTAAACAAAGAAAAAATAGCATAAAAATGTTTATGTTATAATGTTAATAAGTTTTAATTAATTAACATTTCTTGCCCCGTCAGTGCAAGACGAATGTACTTTTGTACATACATATGTATGTATGTATGTACATACATGTGTACAAATGAACATTCACACATTAGTGTCTCACATTTTGCTTCGGCTACTTCAACCGTTTACACGCAACTACACGAACAGCTGCTTGTATGTATGTATGTGTGTGTGTGTGTGTATGTATACTTAGTTGTCCCCAACTGTTTGATATTTTGTATTGTTTGTTCTACCTGCATTTGTAAAATGCATATTTTAAAAATCGTTAAATGCAAAGTTGTAATTTTAGTTACGTAGATTATATTACCCAAATTTGAAATCGATCTGACAAAATTTATAACACAAACTTTTCATTTGAAAAAATGAATAAATATTAAAACCCCAATAATTCAAGCTCCAACAAATTTTGAAAAACCGAGTATGCAGTTTTGTTTGTATTCTTTTATAGATTATAAAACCTAAATTTAAAGTTGATCGATTCAAAAATGCAGAATTTTCAAACAAACTTTGGAGCTACTTTTCCCCCCTTTGGAGCTCGAATTCCCTTCTTAGTGCGCATCTACACCATGATAGGATACTTGAGCCCAAATTTCAGTTTCCTAGCTTTTACCGTTTGGGCTGTGGGGTGTTGATTGTGTTTCAATTTTTCCACGGAAAACCCCCCTTTTTTCATGCCCCAGGAAAAATGGTGAAAAACCAGGTTTTCTTGTATTCTTTTTGAGAGTATACAAACTAAGTTTGAAGTTAATTGGATGAAAATTGTAGATTTTTCATACAAACGTTGGAGCCCGTTTTCCCCCCTTTGGCGTTCGAATTTTCCAAAACCGCTTCTTAGTGCTCACCTACACCACTGAAGACAACATGTGTCCAATTTTCAGCCTCTTAGCTCTTACCGTTTGGGCTGTGCGTTGATTGCACATAGCTTTTCGTTTACCGAATTTTCCACCGGAAAATCATTATTATTCAGGCCGCAGGAAAAATATTGAAAATCCAAGTATACAGTTTTTTTTTGTATTCTTTTTGAGAATATACAAACTAAGTTTGAAGTTAATCGGATAAAAATTGTAGATTTTTCATACAAACGTTGGAGCTCGTTTTCCCCCCTTTGGAGCTCGAATTTTCCGAAACCCCTTCTTAGTGCTCACTTTCACTACAAGAGGGATCTTGTGTCCAAATTTCAGCTTCCTAGCTCTTACCGTTTGGGCTGTGCGTTGATTGCCAATCAGTCAGTCAGTCAGTCAGTCAGGACAAACTGTTTTATATATATAGAGATATTAATATACCCTTATAATTAGAATACAAGTAGATGTATGCCACCTTGCATACAGTTTTATTTCGTATTTTTTACGTTTAAAAATATATTTATTTTTAATAAGATTAATCAGTTAATGATAAAAATTGAACATTTAATTAAATTTAAGCAAAAAAAAAAATTATTTGTGCATTTATCGAAATCTAGAAACGTAACCCCATATTGTATGGAGTCCATGTCTCGTTTAATACGATTTCGCTTACCACGAGCTGTTCTAGGACGATCAGGGGTGCCACAGAAATCTCCGGAGGTTTCGGCAACTGTTGTGTTTGAAAGCTGAAAAAAAAAATCCGTTGGTGCCACAATTAATTTTTCGAACTTCCCCTCCAAGCCATCTATCAGCATCAGGTGACGCTCACATTTGACTGACTAATTTTGTAAAAATCCTGTAACGCATTCAGCTGCCAGCAACAGCTGACTGTCGACGAGTACATTTGACTGACTTCGCATTGATATTAGCCCGCAAGCATTTGCGGACATGCCAATTCATTCTTGAAAAAATACAAAGCAAATGTTTGAGAAGCGCATCTGATCTCCCTAAAGAAATCCAATTATATTGCTTATTAAAAATTACATTTATTTGTAATAGTTTTTATAAGATTAGGAATTTTGCGCAATGTCGGTGTGCTTCCATAAATTGGACGAAATTTGCGTCCTGTTGTGGCGATCTATGATTTTCAAAACCTAGCATTTAAAATTGAATTCAGATATTACAAAAAGTTACCTACATTTTGTTGCTCTGCGCCGTATTGTGAATTTAAATTGCAGTTTATGACAATTCACATTTTCGCAAACAAACAGACATGCCCAATCGGCGACACACAATTATCCCCAAGTTTGTTATAGCCTGTACCCAAAGGGTAAAAGGCTGTACTAGTTTTGTGGGAATGTATGTAACACACACAAGGAGGCGTGGCAGACCCCACAAAGTATATTATTATTGAGCAGGATGACAAGACAAGCCGATATATGTAGCCATGTCCGTCCGTCCGTCTATCTGCATGAGCGCAAGGATCTCTGGAAGTACAAGAGCTAAAAAAACCAAACCAAAACTTGGTATCGAGGTTCCCCTAAGTCCTACGCAGGTCAATTTAATTTTTCTTATTCTGATACGCGCTGCCCGCGGCTGTTGTTGATGTTGCTGTTTGGTTGACTGCACACATGTTTACACAGACACGAATAGATGCGCATAGGCATACATACACATAAACCCTTTACGTGAGTTCGAATACCGAGAAATGTAAAATCGAACAAAAATTTTTTTTTTTAATTTTCTTAATTTTTTTTATTTTCTATAATTATTGTAAACATATTTACAGAGTATTTCAAAGTCGGGACACCCGACTTTAGCTTTTTAACTTGTTTTATTTTGATTAATTGATTAATTTTTTCCTTTTTTTAAATTTTTTTTGTGGAGAATACAGGCTATTTTACTGTCGGGCTTGCTCGACTGTAGCGTTCTCTCTCGTTTTTTTATTTGATGCACACAGATGATGTGAGTAAAAGTGAAAGTGTATTTCAATATTTTCCTTCTCCCATTCCATAACTTCCGTAATTGTTGCAATTTTGCAATCAAATTTAACAAGTACCTCCTGAGTTAGTGATTATGTGTCCGCATGCTAAGTTTAATCCTGATAGGTAGGAAAGGAAGAATTACCAAATTGAAAAAACTAAAAAGAAACAAATTCAGAAGTCGCCCACGTGTAGACGTGGTTTAATGGTTTTATTGGAATCATTTAATTTGAATTAATTATACTCTGTACATGAAATGTACTGGAGTATATTAGGTTTCCGCGAGCTGAAAAATGTAACAGGCACTTCCCACTTCCCCCCTATGGGGGTTTTCCCGATTTTCCACTCGCATATCGCCTATATCTCGGAGACTATAAGAACTAGGGACACCAAATTTTAGTCCTAGATGCCTTATGTGAATACGCAGAAACTTTGTATTTTGGAATTTCCCTCCCTCTTCCCTCTCTCGCGCTATTAGTGATCTTCCATAATTCCCGTAATTCTTGGAATTTCGAAATTAAATTTTTCAAATACCCCCAGTTAGTGATTATATGTCCGTATGCCACTATGATAGACCGAATTTACAAGCCCAAGCGCTGCCCGCAGCTGTTGTTGCTTTGGTTGGTGGCGACAACTGCATGTATTTTGTTTTTGTAAGTTCGCTCACTATGGATCTTTTGCTTGTGCGTCTGGTTGACGTCACTTCCGTTAACCAAGCCGATCCAGCAGACAAAACAGTAAGAAGTTTCACTTAAAAAACAGCAATATCTCAATCTACAATTCTTTAAGACACTCGCTCTATTTCAGGGCTTAAACCTTTTTAGAATTTGTATCTATACCTGAGAGGTACAAATAGTATATTAGGTTTTTGCAATGTGAAAAATGTTACAGATAGAGGGAGGCAGACCTCACAAATTATATATGTACTCTTGACAAACATCACCAGACGAGTCGATAAGGCCACGTTAATCCGTCTGTCTGATGACACGTAAGCACAAAATGAATGCAATTGCCAACAAGTTCAAAGGTTCTTATGGTAACTCGTTCAAATGTGAGGAATTAAAATGAAGCTTCAACCCAACTTAACGAATTTTTGTTTTAAAAGTTAGAAAATGAAATCGTCATATGTAGCTTTCTTTTATTGTAGGTAAATCAAAGCGTGCAAGTGCGTTAGTTGCTGCCGTTGAAAAAGCAACCGAAAACTTTATTCAAAAGGGAGAGCAGATTGGCTATGAAAATCCGGACATTACCCAAGAAATGCTGGCCGCCGTTGATGAAGTACGTAAAACTGGAGATGCTATGAGAGTAGCGGCTAGGGAATTTTCTGAGGATCCATGTAGTTCATTAAAACGCGGTAACATGGTGCGGGCAGCAAGAAACTTGCTATCTGCTGTAACACGATTATTGATATTGGCTGACATGGTTGACGTTCATTTGTTGTTGAAGTCCTTACATATTGTTGAAGACGATTTAAATAAATTAAAAAATGCTTCGAGCCAAGATGAACTTATGAGTAATATGAGAGTGAGTTAAACATTTTATGGAATATGATATTTAACCCTAATGTGCTGTTGTCCTTCCTTCTTTATAGCAATTTGGTCGTAACGCTGGAGAACTCATAAAACAAGCAGCAAAGCGTCAACAAGAACTTAAAGATCCTCAATTGCGCGATGATTTAGCTGCAGCTCGGGCTATGCTGAAAAAACATTCAACTATGCTCTTAACTGCATCTAAGGTGTACGTGCGTCATCCAGAATTAGACTTAGCTAAAGTAAACAGAGACTTTATTCTCAAACAAGTTTGTGACGCTGTAAACACTATTAGTGACGTCGCACAGGGAAAATCTTCTCAGCCAACTGACATATACAGTGGCGCTGGCGAGTTAGCTGCAGCTTTAGACGACTTTGACGTATGTCGGGCAATTAAAATTTCCAATACTTTTCAAACAACAGCCATTATTTTTATAGGAGGGTATTGTAATGGATCCAATGACGTATAGTGAAAAGCGCTCTCGGCAGTTATTGGAAGAGCGGTTGGAAAGTATTATTAGCGCTGCGGCACTAATGGCAGATGCAGATTGTACACGGGATGAACGGCGTGAAAGGATTGTGGCTGAATGTAATGCCGTACGACAGGCTTTGCAGGATTTGCTTTCAGAATACATGTCAAACGTAAGTTAATAAACAATAATTGAATTATTTGCTATGATTTAGGTATACGAGAATTAAATGTAACGCCTGCAAAATTTGGTTTATGTAGTTTAGAAATATATACAGTACTAGCGTTTTGATGGCTCTCGATGTAGATGCCCTTTCGCGAAGATCTTGCAAATGTGATTCGCGCTCGGCATTTTCAGCTGCTCTTTTTTCGGTAATCTTTTGTGGGGGCATTTTTTAAAATTTAATTTTACAATTTTATTTATTTCATTCGTAAGAAACACTGACAAGAAGAGTAAAAAGTTACTGTCAAACAAATGAAAATGAGCACAAATAAGAAAAAGACAGTTGATCACTTTAAACAATGCCACGAAACTTCCCAGGTACACCCATTGGCCTATTTTAAATATTGCCACAAAATTTTATTAAAATCGATTTACCGGTTTCGGAGTCTATAGGGAATATACATACTTCCATTTTTATAGCCTGTACCGAAAGGGTAAAAGGCTATACTAGTTTTGCGCGAATGTATGTAACATAAAGAAGGAGGCGTGGCAGACCCCACAAAGTATATATATACTTGATCAGGGCGACAAGCCGAGTCGATATAGCCATGTCCGTCTGTCCGTCCGTCTGTATGAGCGCAAGGATCTAGGCAAGTACAAGAGCAAGAATAACCATAACTGCCTGAAACTCTGCCCGTAGCGCTGCCAGCAGCTGTTGTTGTTGTTGCTTTGGTTTAACTTTGTGCTGCATACATACACGCATATAAACACGCAAAGACACGATTCTGATGTAAATGTATGCTGTTTAAACTGAACATAAACATGTATTCTAATTTAATTAAATTAATTATTTTAATTAATTAATTCATTCATTTTTTTTAATAATTTAATTTTTTTTTAATTTTTTTTTTTTTTAATTTTTCCTTTTTGTGGAGAGTACAGGCTATTTTACTGTCGGGCTTGCTCGACTGTAGCGTTCTATCTTGTTTTTACATGAAAACTCCCATATTTTAGGCCCCAAAAAAAATATCAAAAAACCAAGTATACAGTTTTTCTTGGAATTGGAATTGGAGTATACAAACTAAGTTTAAAGTTAATCAGATGAAAACTGTAGATTTTTCATACAAACGGACACATTAGTACTAACTGGATGTACCTACCAAAATTGATTTTTAAATTCCGAGAATTACGGAAGTTATAAGAAAAAATACGAATTGCGGGGGAGTGGGGAGGTGTATCAGAAAAAATAAACAAACTCGTTCTGAGATCCTTGCGCTCATACAGACAGACGGACAGACGGACATGGCTATATCGACTCGTCTTCTCATCCTGATCAAGAATATATATACTTTGTGGGGTCTGCCACGCCTCCTTCTGTGTGTTACATACATGCGCACAAAACTAGTATAGCCTTTCACCCTTTGGGTACAGGCTATAAAAATGTTGGGGCACAAAAGCAAACCGCGTCAACAGCCCACAGCCCACACGGTAAAAGCTAGGATGCTGAAATTTGGGCTCAAGTATCCTATCATGGTGTAGATGAGCACTAAGAAGGGATTTTGGAAAATTCGAGCTCCAAAGGGGGGAAAACGAGCTCCAAAGTTTGTTTGAAAAATCCGCATTTTTCAACCGATCGACTTAAAACTTAGTTTCTAAAATCAATTAAAGAATGCAAAAAAAACTGCATACTCGGTTTTTTAAATTTTTTGTTGGAGCTTGAATTATTGGGGTTTTCTTGGGGCACAAAAGGAAACCGCGTCAACAGCCCACAGCCCAAACGGTAAAAGCTAGGATGCTGAAATTTGGGCTCAAGTATCCTATCATGGTGTAGATGAGCACTAAGAAGGGATTTTGGAAAATTCGAGCTCCAATGGGGGGAAAACTCCAAAATTTGTTTGAAAAATCCTCATTTTTCAACCGATTGACTTAAAACTTGGTTTCTAAAATCAATGAAAGAATACAAAGAAAGTTGCATACTTGGTTTTTTAAATATTCTCTTGGAGACTGAATTATTGGGGCTTTTTCGGGGCACAAGAGGAAACCGCGTCAACAGCCCACAGCCCAAACGGTAAAAGCTAGAAAGCTGAAATTTGGGGTCAAGTATCCTATCATAGTGTAGGTGTAGAAAATTCGAGCTCCAAAGAGGGGAAAACGCGCTCCAAAGTTTGTTTGAAAAATCTTCAGTTTTCAACCAATCAACTTTAAATTTGACTTTTATAAACTATAAAAGAATACAAACAAAACTGCATACTCGAATTTTCGAAATTTGTGGAGGAGCTTGAATTAATGGGGTTTTAATATTTATTCACCTTTTCAAATGAAAAGTTTTTGTTATAAAATTTTTCCGATAGATTTCAAATTTGGGGACGTAACTAAATCTACAACTTTGCATTAAAGGATTTTCAAAATATGCATTTTACAAAAGCAGGCAGAACAAACAATACAAAATATCAAACAGTTGGGGACAACTAAGTATACACACACACATACAAGCAGCTGTTCGTGTAGTAGCGTGCAAACGATTGAAATAGCCAAAGCAAAATGTGAGACACTAATGTGTGAATGTACACACATACATATGTATACATCTATGTACATGTGCACATCTATGTATGTATGTATGTTCATTCGTCTTGCATTGACAGAGCAAAAAATGTTAATTAATTAAAAATTATTTAACATTTTTAAAAGTAATTTTTTTTTTGTTAGTACATTTGGCATTAGAGTTTTCATTAGTAACTTTATGCAGCAGCAACAAATTACAAAGAACGCAAATATCAAATAGTTAGGGACATCACTCACGCACAGAACAAGCAACAGTTCGTGTCTATGTGTGCGGTTGAAAAAGTAAAGAGAAACATGCATGCATATGTACATATGTATGTATGTATGCCTGTGTACGTACATATATAGCATGTGTGTACATTCGTATGTATGTATGTATTTATGTATGTATACATTGGACAATCGAGCACTGTTGTTTGATTCTAATAAATAATGTTCTATCGTTTTAAATCAAATTTTTAAAACGAAAAACAACAACAACTGCAAGTCGTTGGCTCGCGCTTCTTCTTTCATTTTGATCATTTACGCCTGTTAATTTCAAAGGCAAAATGCCAAAAGTTTACAGTTACCGTCGCTAGGCAACGACTGCGTAAGCGATAGTACAGCAGAAACCGAATGCGGACCTACGCATATTATTCTTCGCGTTGCGGGCAGATGTACATATGTATGTTTGTATATGATTTGTTCTAATTGATCTCAATAAATTATAAGATATGTAGATATTTAGATTTAGATATTCTGTTAATTGCATTCAAACTTCGATGGAATTATTGATTGTATCGACGGATTCAACTATCGATAGTTTTGATGCTCTAACACATAGAGCATCCGACACATGCCCATCTCTAGCATCTCAGCTGATCGCATATTTATATTTAGTGTTAGCTAACAACGCTACTAATGTATTCTGAACAAAACTAAGTGTCATTTACCGTTAAGCCTATTTTGTGATTGTATTCATGCGATTTACAAAAGCAGAAACACCCCTTTTACATTCACAACAATCATATTTGGAATTGAAGACACAAATTAGTGTTGAATTAAAAAATTTAATACATGCTTATATATGTATGTATGTATATAGGCGGAAAACGCCTGCATGAAAAATTTGAATGTATGTACATATCAGCGTTGCCGAACGCTCCAATTTTGGCGGGACGTCCCGATTTATAAATCAAAATTAAATGTCCCGCGTCGGACTTTCCGGGGATAACACGACCGTGCGTACAACGTGCTGAGGAAGCACACAGTTAAGTCAGGACTGGCAGTCCGCCCGGTGTGTAACGAAGATATGTACATATGTACGTATAACCATACATAGTACTTATTGTACTATATTTACTATTTGGAAAATGAACTCTTCAAAAAACTTTAGAGAGCGTCGAAAGAAGAATATCATATAGTAAATAAACTTATAATTATAAGCACATTTTACTGAGCCCAGCAAGGCTATACCTTTTTAACAAAAAGCTATAATTGGCTTATATTTTGTATGCCCGCCATTAGCATCCATAACAGCCCTGAGGCGACGCGACATCGAGTATATGAGCGCACCCATGTCGTAATTTTTGTCCACTCATTTATTGTTTGCCCACCCTTTTCTTTAGCAATGCCCACAAATTTTCAATAGGATTGATATCCGGACTCTGGGCGGGCATGTCAATGACTTTGATGCAATTATATAGCAGCCAAGTGCGACACAGCACCGATTTGTGCTTCGGATCATTATCCTGGTACAGCTTGTATTTGAGTTTGCTGGATCAACGAAGCCAAAACTGTGCGCACTTCTTGACAATTCATTTTTTAATATATCCAAATAAAATTCCTTTGTCATAATCTCGTCAAATATGCGCAGCTTTCCAACGCCTTTCGATTAAATACAGCCCCACACCATGACTGAAAGCTTGCCGAACTTACAGTAGGCACTATGTTTTTGGCCTGGAGGGCTGTATTTGCTTTCCTCCAAACTTTGCTGGGTTCCTTGCTATAATGGAAAAACACTAACTGAATCAAATTATCATCAGTGCGTTTGCCAGGCATTGCAAAAATCCTCAAAGTAACAGATTGGTGACCGAACCGAAGCAAATTTTTCAAGGAATGAGTGCAAGGAAGATTAGAAAAAAACATGCGATCGCTCAGTTTCGATTTTGTATTCTTTCAACCAGTGCACTATGGTCCAGTAGTCCGTTTTTTTTGGCATAAACTCCAAAAAGGAAGGTATCGTCTTCAAAATTGGCATGCAATTGGCTATTGGCAGAATTGGATTTGACCACGTAAGCAAATAATAAGCGCCATTTTATTTTTCATAAGTAGCTGATCGACTGTTACATTTAACCCTGGAACGTCATCCTTCGTCAAAACGACGACGCGAGATTTTAAATTCGATTTAAAATAGGTTTATCCTATTTGTTTTGTTCTAATTTTTCGTACAGCGCCAGACACTTGCTAGCTTTTGGTTGACGTAGACTTGCAATGCGCTGTTCACATTGTATGTTGTTATAGCCTGTACCCAAAGGGTGAAAGGCTATACTAGTTTTGTGCGCATGTATGTAACACACAGAAGGAGGCGTGGCAGACCCCACAAAGTATATATATTCTTGATCAGGATGAGAAGACGAGTCGATATAGCCATGTCCGTCTGTCCGTCTGTCTGTATGAGCGCAAGGATCTCAGTAAGTACAAGAGCTAGGATAACCAAAATTGGTATCAAGGTTCCTATAAGCCCTAGGCAGAACGAGTTTGTTTATTTTTTCTGATACACCCCCCCACTCCCCCGCAATTCGTATTTTTTCTTATAACTTTCGTAATTCTCGGAATTTTGAAATCAATTTTGGTAGGTACATCCAGTTAGTACTAATGTGTCCGTGTGCCAAATTTCATCATGATAGGTCAATTCTGAAGAAAGTTATAGCCATAAGTAAAATCGCTGCTCATGCGCTGCCTGCAGCTCTGTCGGCAGCGCTGCCCGCAGCTGTTGTTGTTGTTGCTGCTTTTGTTCAACTTTGTGCTGCATACATACACGCATATAAACACGCATAGGTACGTGATGTAAATGTATGCTGTTTAAACTGAACATAAACATGTATTCTAATTTAATTTAATTAATTATTTTAATTAATTAATTCATTCATTTTTATTAATAATTTAATTTTTTTTAAATTTTTTTATTTTTCCTTTTTGTGGAGAGTACAGGCTATTTTACTGTCGGGCTTGCTCGACTGTAGCGTTCTTTCTTGTTTTTTTTTTGCATTTAATTTTTTGGCGTAGTCAATATGACGAAGGATGACCATTGTGTAACTTTCAGGTTATTAGTTGCATTTTTTTCGTCTAATTAATTAATGAATTTTTACAACATGGCTTATAAAAAATCTTTTACTGATAAAGAAATTAAGCAATTTATGTCCTTGAGTGATGACGACTATGAACGCAACGATGAAAGCGATCACGATCACGAGAAGTCGCTTCTGAATATAACAGCTCTTCAGACGACGGCACCGATGTGGATGAGGATGGTATTCCTCTAAATATTTTAAGGGCGAAAACAAACATTATGACGAACGATAAAACTATACTTTCTGGGAAAAAATGTAATAATGTGTAATAGTGGAACGATATATGGTGGATGCAATGCCATATATGAGCAACAATTCAAACCAAATTAAAATGCCACTTGATGAGTTTTATGTAAAAGAACTAAGTAAGACTGGCTCAAATAGAAATATTACAGTGGACAATTGGTTCACACCAATACGTTTAGCGCAATAGCAATAGGAAAGTGCCGGTACATTTGGACATTAGTTAACATTCTTCGGTCAAATATAAATATAAAAAATTAAATTCAAAGTGAGCTTTTAATAATGACGCTGAAATATTATTCTTACAATAGAAACTGGGAAAAGAAAGATTTGCGCAGTTTGTCCTTCCTCAAAGTGCAAAATTACAAAGGTGGTCTGTGCAAAATGGCAGAAAAGTGTGTGTGGCGAGCACAAAGCTTAACTTTCTGCCTCATGCCTTATTTAAATGAATATACTTCAAAACTTTTTCTCATTTTAAATTTACATCCATTAATTTGATGAAACAAGTAGACTAAATTGAATAGAATGTGGTTTATGTTATAATTTTCTGTGTTTTTTTATGTCATTTTTTCAAAGCCATGCCAAATGAAAGAAGGCTGTAAAAAAACATATTTAAGTTCAAGCAATTAAAAATATATATGAATTTCATTACTTTTTGACTAAAAATTAAATAAGGAAAATAATAATATCCATTTTAGTTTCGTTTTTACCTCTCGAAATTATTTATAGGGTTTTAAAATAGGTCGTAGTCAAAATGACGAAGGATGACCTTAGTGTACAAAAAATAAGGATGACGTTCCAGGGTTAAAAGCTCACAAAAAGCTTCAGTGAAGCTTTTAAATTTTGCATGTGTATGAGATATTTAGTTAAATAATTTAAAATCAAAAATATGATATATTCACATCGAAATTTCGACTTTATGCCAAAAAAAAAAAGAAAAAAAAAGTGTTTGCATTTTGCAAAGAATAGATTGACAGTGTCGTAAATGTGGTTTAGTTTTTATTTCTTTTACGATTTACTTCGAAATTTTTTTTTTTTTTTTTTTTTTTTTTGGCATACCCATAGATTATACATACAGTAATAATAATCGATAAATAAAATGTTGCCAAATAATGCCTTTATTTATAAATTTTATGTTAAAGTTGAACTTTTGTGACAAATTTTATTTATTATTAATTTGTTGACATACTGGTTATAGATTGACGAAGAAAAAAAAGCAAAGAAATTATGTGTTACCTACTACAACTATATACCAAATTTGGAAATATACTTCCGCCGCTCTAAATGCTTAAATGCGCATTGCACATGATAAGCATCACAACGCAAATCAATGACAATGACTTCTACCAGCTCAACACAATATATTTGTTATGCTCTACATTACTGAGACCCATACCCATTAAAAGCAGTCGTCGATCGTGCTTTTAACCACGTGTGGCCGTGCTACTTCACCTGCCTTTTTATTTTCATGTACCAGGTACTGAACACTGTCTTGTGTGATTCGAATCAAATGCGAATGTTCTCAACAGCATTACCTTTGTGCTGAAGTAGTTTTGTGCGAATGTATGTAAAAGGCAGAAGGAGGCGTGGCATATAGCCATTTCCGTCTGTATGATCTCAGCAAGTACAAGAGCAAGAATAACCAAATTTGGTATGTAGATTCTTCTAAGCTCGAGAAAAGATTTTTTTTTCTGATGCATCCACCCCCACCAGCGTTTGGGTACAGGCTATAAAAAGGAAAGTTGTGAACATTTTCTGTCAACATTTAAACTCTTTTTTCCAGATGGGCCAAAAAGATAACAGTCCTGGACTCGATCGTGCTATTGATCAAATGTGCCGTAAAACGCGTGATTTGCGTCGTCAATTGAGGAAAGCTGTTGTTGATCATGTCTCTGACTCATTTTTGGAAACAACGACTCCTTTGATTGATTTAATTGAGGCTGCCAAATCTGGAAACGAAAAAAAAGTGCGCGAAAAAGCCGAAATATTTACAAAGCATGCTGAAAAACTTGTTGAAGTTGCTAATCTAGTATGCAGCATGTCTAACAATGAGGATGGCGTTAAAATGGTCCGCTATGCCGCGGCACAAATCGAAAGTCTTTGTCCACAAGTAATAAATGCAGCATCAATTCTCACAGTTCGGCCTAATTCAAAGGTAGCCCAAGAAAACATGTCAGCTTATCGTCAGGCATGGGAAGTGCAAGTTCGAATATTAACGGAAGCCGTTGATGACATTACAACCATTGATGACTTTTTGGCAGTTTCCGAAAATCATATTCTAGAGGATGTAAATAAATGTGTAATGGCATTGCAAATTGGCGATTCCACGGACTTGCGTATAACAGCTGGAGCCATTCAGGGTCGTTCAGCAAGAGTATGCAATGTAGTCGAAGCAGAAATGGACAACTATGAGCCCTGCATTTACACAAAACGGGTACTTGAAGCCGTTAAAGTATTGCGAGAGCAAGGTTAGTATTGCCCCTAATTTTACTTATTACTTACTTATTACACTTTATTTTATACACATACATCAGTTATGTAATTGTAAAATATTTGAAATCAATATGAAAAATGCCAACGAAACCTACAAAACATTAAAATTTTCCCCCTTTTTTCTGAAACCCGATTAAAATATCAAATCGAAAGGCGATACTTAAATTTATTATAAAGTCTGCCTAAAACCCTTCTCAGCGAGATATTCAATAGAAAGTGTGTTCCAAAGTAAACAGGACTTTAAAAAAAAAACAGAACAAATGGTTTTTTCGGCAAAATCAAATTATTTTATTCAAAATAGTAACCTTCTGCTTCAATATAGCTTTTTGCACGATCCAAAAGCATGTCGAACGAGTGTTTTAGCTCGTTGGCCGGTATGGCCGCCAGTATGCCGGTGCAAGCCTTTTGAATGGCCTCTACGTCTGCATAACGCTTTCCTTTCATGGGCAAATGCATTTTTCCGAGCAATTTTTGGTCCTCAGTCAATTTGTGCGGAACAAACCGTGCACACACCTTTCGTAAGCACAAATGTTCGGTCAAAATGCGATAAATCGTTGTTTTGGAGATGTTCAATTCCATTTCCATCAATTTCAATGATGATTTCGGGTGATTTTTGATGAATTCACGCACAGTTTCGATGGAACTTTCGGTGATCACGAATTTTGATTGGCCCACATGTTGATCGTCATTTATGTCCTCACGACTACTTTGAAAACGTTGAAACCACTCGTGCACTCTGCTACGGGATAGGCAATAATCGCTATAAGCTTGTTCCATCAATTGAAACGTTTCGGTAAAAGTTTTACCAATTTTAAAACAAAATTTAATGTTGGCTCTTTGTTCGAAGCTAATTTTTGCACCGATAACACAAACATACTGACACTTAAAACGCAATAACTTCACTTCCAATCGATGAAATGTCATGAAATTCTCACTGGACAATCGATAAAGATAGGAGATTCCAACGCACCAGTCGACATATAGATAGCTCCACCAGGGGGCGCTAGATTCAAAAAGGCCTGTTTACTTTGGAACACACCTTGTATATCGTGATGTGATACGCTCGCAGTGATCGAATATTGTTTTAGCGCGAGGGCTTTTTCTGGCCATATCGTAACATAACGAAGGATGCAAAAAATATAAGCTTGCACCCAATGAAATCTATAAATCAACTAATATTTTATTGATTGCCCACTGTTTGTGTGATGGTTAAAAAATTTCTAAAATCATACTACGCAGTTTATCTTGTAGTAAATAAACCAAAGTTAAAGATAATCGAAGCTCTAAATTGCAGACCGACCCTAAAAAGAAAACTTGAGCCCAAATTCCTAGCTCTTACCGTTAAGGCTGTGCGTTAACGCCAATCTGTCACTCAAGACAAGACTTGTTGACTGACTTGTTCAATTCAGCTAAATGTTACTTATTAATTGTTACATATATATACAAATAAAAAGAACTAGTATACTTATATGATATTAAATACATATTTTGTATTTATATTTTAAGTTATGACTAAATTTGATCAGCGTGTTGATTCCGCCGTCGAAGCACTTTCAGCTAATATCAACAAGGACGTGGATGAGAATGACTTTATTGATGCTTCACGCTTAGTTTATGATGGTGTGCGTGAAATACGACGAGCAGTTTTAATGAACCGAGTAAGAATATTGCTTTAACACTACAAAATTTGTTTTTAAATTAATAACTTACAAGTTGTTGGCAGAAAATCACGACGCTATTTCTAAGCGTAACGGAAGTCACACAGAGAAAATTATCATTACAACAATTCGTTTATTTTTTAATATCATTGCAGAGCTCTGAAGACCTTGATACAGATACAGAATTTGAACCAGTAGAAGATTTAACATTGGAAACACGTAGTAGATGTAATTACTATTGCTTTTATATGTATATCCTCTCTTTCTTGTGTGCCAGTTTGTAATACTCTGAACAAAGAATGATAACCATATGTGATGGGTACATATAAATTCAGCATCGATATACATATATCACCGGTTGGCCGAAATTTTAAATCGAGTGCTCTACAACAAAATTCACCGGTAGAGTTCTGAGTTTCCTACTGAAAATCGAGCAACGACACACGCACTACGTGTATTTTGGTTTTCTATCAATTTTCTTGTGCGTCTGTTGTTTTTGTTAGTTCTCTTTCTTCTCTTTTTTTTTATAATTTTTTGAACCTTTTCAGGTAATAACTTACTGTTAAACTTATACGGTAACTTATTTGAACATTTTTTTATAATTTTAATAATGTGTCGATCCCCCCTTGTTGAGTATGATCTCATAGATCCGATTGGGAAGCGATTCGTATAACTTTGCTATTTAATTTAATGAAATGGCTGACCAAGTACTTTTAATTCCTTTAATTAATTCCTCTTTGGTGGAATACTGCCTGCCCGCTTCGTAAACTTTACGAACCAGCCATCCCCACACGTTTTCTATGATGTTAGTGTCCGGTGAGTAAGGCGGCCACTGCAATAAGTCGACGTTTTGACCTTCTATCTAAGATTTAATCACTGGGGCAGTGTGAATCGAGCATTGTCTTGTTGGAAACGCCAAGACAAATTTAAGAAATGGGGAAAAGCAAGTTTCAGTACGTTTTGATAAGTGTTTACAGTCATATTTGTGTTCAAAAATTATAACTCGCACGTAACATAACAGGAGGTAGCTCCCCACACCATTACACCGCCCTCACGACTATGAAGTCGAACCAAATCACATTTCTTTTCATCCGAAAAGAAAACAAAGCTCCAATCAAAATTTAAGTAGAGTTTGATTTAATTGATTTCCTTCCGAGCATAGTTAAGTGGTGGTTTTTTCCTTAGTTGTAATCTTTTCAAATGTGGAGCATTCCTCATCACCCTTTGAACAGAACATAAGCTGGCTTCAACACCAACATTTGCTCTTTTATCAGCATTGGAAATCACTTTATTATTACAGTATTTATTATTTATACCATATCCCGACATTTTAAATAAGAAATTGTATATAACTTTTCCACTTCTGCCGACTTATTTTGGTATTTCAGTTACTGAAAGCTTTAACTCTTCTTAAGCTTCGTATTATGCTTTCTCTTTAACCGATAACGTTTGTTTTTACCCATATTAAAGAAGATCACTTGAGCAGTAAAAAAAGTCGGCTTAATACCTATTCAAATTCCGAGGATAAATGAAAAACCAATTGCATGTGCTAACCTGATGATGCAAAAATTAAGCACCCTTTTCGATTGAAAAGAAAAGAAAATAGTAAATACCATATAACGGTATATTGTTAACACATGTTCTCTTTGTCAGTGATAGTGCATACAAAGGTGAGAAAAATAGAAAACAAAAAATTTGCTTAAAGTTAACAACAACGAAATCAGACGCAATTACATTTGGATGATGTATGTGTGCTAACGTGACGACGCGCAGTGTACATATGTCCTTCTGTCCGTCCGTATGACCACCGAGAACCTTTAAGCCACGACGGCTAGGGACCCCGTACTTGGTATGTAGACCGACCTATCCATACGTTGAGAAGGGTTAATATTTACCTGTCATTTTATAAATTCCTCTAAATATTCTTCAGTTTCATCAAAATGGGGTACTGATCCCCTCATATCATACAGCTATCATAGGAACGATTGGTGCAGAAACAAAACCAATACCATAAACTTTTTATACTCTGTACATGAAATGTACAAGAGTATATTAGGTTTGCGCGAGCTGAAAAATGTAACAGGCAGAAGGAGGCGTGGTAGACCCCACAAAGTATATATATTCTTGATCAGCATGACAAGACGAATCGATTTAGCCCTGTCTGTCTGTCTGTCCGTCTGTCCGTCCGTATGATCACCTAGATCTCAGAGACTATAAGAGCTAGAGACACCAAATTTTGCACAAAGATGCCTTATGTGTGTACGCTATACGAGTTTGTTTTATTTTTTTGATTTTCTCCCCCACTTCCCCCCTATGGGGGTTTTCCCGATTTTCCATTCGTATAATCGCCTATATCTCGGAGACTATAAGACCTAGGAACACCAAATTTTAGTCCCAGATGCCTTGTGTGAATACGCAGAAAATGTATATTTTGGAATTTCCCTCCCTCCCCCCTCTCCCCCGCAAATGCGATTTTCTCTAACTCCCGTAATTCTTGGAATTTCGAACTAAAATTTTGGAAATACCACCAGTTGGTTATTATGTGTCCGTATGCCAAGTTTCACTATGATAGACCGATTTAACAAGAAGTTATAGCCATAGCTGTTGTTGATGTTGCTGTTTAGTTGACTGCGAAAATGCTTACACAGACACAAATAGACGCACATAAACATACATACACTCACATAGACGCAATTGCTTTGTATATGTGCAATTATATACCCTTTACGTGAGTTCGAATACCGAGAAAGGTAAAATCGATCAAATTTTTTTAAATTTTCTTTTTTTTTTCTATAATTATTGTAAACATATGTACAGAGTATTTCAAAGTCGGGACACCCGACTTTAGCTTTTTTACTTGTTTGTTAATAAAATATCGCCAAATACATATTGTGATATTTAAAAGCTTTTTACAGTGTCATAAGCAAAATAGGTAAATTACTATATATAACTGTCATAGGACAACGACTTTAACGATCTACATATTTGCTTATATTATACAAGTATATACAAGTATGTATGTATGTCCTTTTTTACACGGTTTTCTTTTCACACAACTTTTTCTGGTACCAATCTACCGTGCAGTAACAGAATTAGATGTATACAATTTGAGTGTAAGAAAAAGTAAACGGTAACAGCTTTGAGCAGGATAAGATAACTCATTATTATTTTTCAGCGAGTGCGCATACAGGTGATCAGACAGTTGATGAATATCCAGACATAAGCGGTATTTGTACTGCTAGAGTAAGCTCTACAAACCACGTGTTCTTTGATTTTTCGATCTAAACCCAACTTAAACTAATTTTACAGGAGGCAATGCGTAAAATGACCGAAGAGGACAAGCAAAAAATTGCTCAACAAGTGGAGCTGTTCCGTCGGGAAAAGCTTACTTTCGACTCTGAGGTTGCTAAGTGGGATGATACTGGTAATGATATAATCTTCTTGGCAAAACATATGTGTATGATAATGATGGAGATGACAGACTTTACTAGGTTTGCAATATGCAATTTGATATAATTATTTGTATTAATCCTAAGACATTGTATATTAGGGGGCGTGGACCTTTAAAGACAACGATGGATGTTATTAATGCAGCTAAAAAAATATCAGAAGCTGGAACCAAACTGGACAAACTTACTCGAGAAATAGCTGAACAGTGCCCAGAGAGCAGTACCAAAAAAGACCTATTGGCCTATTTACAACGCATTGCTCTTTATTGCCATCAAATTCAAATAACTTCAAAGGTGAAAGCGGATGTTCAAAATATAAGTGGCGAACTTATAGTTTCTGGGGTAAGAAAATTTACATATTTTCTGCAATTTGTTGGCGGCTCTTACTAAGTTTTCGCCAAATGTATGTAACAAACGACAGACACCGTCTTATAAGTACTAACTCCTCGTATATGATGGACATGACAAGGCGAATCGTTATTTATAAACATGCCGTATGTTCGTATGAACACAGACAGTTGTGTTATCCATACGCAAGTCATATATAGCTATTACCCTTTTTTTTATATAGCTGTCACACGCTGTTCTCACACATTATTGTTGCTATAATACTGATGCAACTGCGCAGTCATACACACCCACTAATTTCGCATCGGAAATATAATAATGCTATGGGAAGCTGCCGGAAAACGAACAAAGTGACTAATTTGTATCCAAAGGGGAAAGAGATCATTACATTTTTATACCCTGTACCCAAAGGGTATACACCTAATTTCGTTTTTACACAGCTTTTATTTAACACGGTTTGAAAATTAAAAATGTTATATATGGTTCACGACTTTATTCCATTTAGCACGATTCAAAATAACATATGATCAATGTATTTTTTTACACGTTTTTTTACACGAACTTTTCTGTAACCAATGTACCGTGTAAATGTATGTAACACACAGAAGGTGGCGTATCAGACCCCAAAATGTATATATATTCTTGATAAGGGTGACAAGCCGAGTCGATATAGCCATGTCCGTCCGTCCGTCTGTATGAACGCAAGGATCTCAGAAAGTACTAGAGCAAGAATAACCAAACTTGGTATCCAGATTCTCCTAAGTCCGAGAAAGGACGAGTTTGTGTTTGTTCCTCGCAATTTTATATTATATTTAAATACTTTATATTTTTAATAATTTTTCTTTTAATAATTTTTTTTTTATAATTTTTTTTTTTTAATGTTTTTCTTGTTTGTGGAGAGTACAGGCTATTTTACTGTCGGGCTTGCTAGACTGTAACATTACCTTGATTTATTGATTCTTGATTTTATTTAAATTAATTTATTAATTTAATTTTTATACCCTGTACTCGTAGGGTAAAAAGGGTATATTAGGTTTGTGCAAAGTATGTAACATGCAGAAGGAAGCATCTCCGACCCCATAAAGTATATATATTCTGAATCAGCATGACAAGAGAAATCGATCTAGACATGTCCGTCCGTCTGTCCGTCTGAATGAACGCAAGGATCTCAGAAGCTATTAAAGCGTTCTCTCTTGTTTTAAATATTTTTTTAAAATTTCTTTTTCTGGTTTTGTGGAGAGTACAGGGTATTTTACTGTCGGGCTTGCTCGACTGTAGCGTTCTTTCTTGTTTTACAATAAAAAAATAGAAAACGTTACTCTTTGGGTACAACCTATAAAAACATATAATGAAGTGTATATGATCGCTAGCTAAATCAGTTAAATGAGTGGCAAAAAAAGATTACAAAATTATCTCTCAGCACCTTCCCCTGGCAATAGAATGTCCACTCTTATACTTGTATATACAAACATTCCATTAACAAAATTTATTTAACAAATGAGAGATGACTTAAAATGTTGTGTCATACTGCAAATACGTGTAAATGTATGAACATTTTGTGAATCGCTTATTGTAGTTTTTATACACAGACAGGCATGTAAAGTGCCCATGCCAACAAAAATATAAATAAACATCTTGAAAATAATTTATATATATATTTTTTGTAACAGTTGGACAGCGCAACATCATTGATTCAAGCTGCTAAAAATCTTATGAACGCTGTAGTACTTACGGTTAAATACTCATATGTTGCTTCAACAAAATATACAAGACAAGGAACTGTAACAGTAAGTAATTTATTTAAATATTTATGGAATATTCACTAAAAACTTCGGTATTATTTTAGTCTCCCATTGTGGTATGGAAAATGAAAGCACCGGAGAAGAAACCGCTGGTACGCCCAGAAAAACCAGAAGAAGTTCGTGCGAAAGTTCGTAAGGGATCCCAGAAGAAAGTTCAAAACCCGATTCATGCATTATCTGAATTCCAAAGTCCTGCTGATGCTGTTTGAGAAAAATTAACAACAATTCTGTATTCGGTATTAAAGAATTAATATTCAACTATTTATTATAACATAAAAATGTGACAATTAATATTTAAACACAATGAAAGTGTGACTACAATTATTGAAAAATAAAGAGCACAGCATATATGCAACATTCATATCCATAACTATCTATGCGTAAGAGTGCGTGACTGCTGATTACTGTATACGATTTCATCGATAAGGTGTTTATACATCTTATATTCAAAGCCTACAATGTATGTAGGTAGGTAGGCCCTGGAAGTTGGCCCGTTGTGGTGCTGCGTGGACAAGTCCATTTCCCAAAAGCCTGTATGTCTGCGCAAGTATTACATCCATCCAGCTGCCCGGATGAATTTGAAAATGTCTATCGGCTTTCTGTGTGCTGGTGCCGATAGATTTGGGAGGAGGCTAGATCGTAGAAACGTCTTGTCCTTGACAAGGCTGGGAAGTAGCAGAAGAGGTGGGTCACAGTTTCCTCCTCTTCCACGTGATGTATCATTGGTCCACATTTGATTTGCAAAGTGGTTCCGAACTGACGGTTTACAGCTGGCCATCGGTATACCGACGCTCTTCTTGTCTGGAAGGAGGGAACCGGTGGTATCGTGTCTTGCCAGCTCGTCGGCTATGCAATTTCACTGGATATCTCTATGACCTGGGACCCAAATGAGGTAAACTGAGAACTGTGATGCGACAGTTCTGCGCTGGCATCGAGTTCGATGTAATGACTTTTAGGGATTTTATTGCCGCTGGGTATCCGGTTTCTCTGATGTCTATGGCTGGGTTTGGCAGTATAAGAAGAGCTTCTTGAATAGCTATGATTTCCGCCTAGAACAAACTGCAGTGATCCGGGAGCTACACTGGAGCAAGCCCAACTATAAAATACATTGAACCCACTCGCAAAAAAATTTGTTTTAAATAATTAAAAACAAGAAAGAAAGGAATGTCTGAGTCGACCGGGCTTATAAATACCCTGTAAATAAAAAGCGGAGAAGCATCGAAAAAAAACTCAAACATACTTTCTCGGACTTAGGAGAATCTGGATACCAAGTTTGGTTATTCTTGCACTTGTACTTTCTGAGATCCTTGCGTTCATACAGACGGACGGACGGAAATGTCTATATCGTCTCGTCATCCTGATCAAAATTATAAACACTTTGTGGGGTCTGCCATGCCTCCTTCTGCGTGTTACATACATTCGCACCAAACTAGTATAGCTCTTTATAACCTGTACTCGTAGGGTAGAAAGGGTATATTAGGTTTGTGCAAATTATGTAACATTCAGAAGGAAGCATCTCCGACCCCATAAAGTGTATATATTCTGCATGCCCGTCCGAGGGAACGGCCGATTTTTTTTTTTTTAATTTTTCCCTCCTTCCCATGCTACAGAATTTTGTCAATGCTGTCCACATTTCAAAAGCTATATTTGTTACGCTCACGCTTTCCCCTTTGGGCAACGCCGGCTGGTTCATTGGATTCTCTCTTTGGGGACGCACAATAACCGATACGTCGGTTCCCCCATCGATAAACGACAAAATGCCATCACTACAATTAACTAAACGCGCAATAACAAAACGAATTTCAAATATAAATAAACCCAACCAAAATATTTAACATCAAACAAATTCAACGTAATGCGGGAAAACAAAACAACAAACGGACCTACATACATAAAAAATCCAGGAAAACCCAACCAATTATCAGCTCCAAAACTGGTCAATGATGTTGAGGCAGAGTTGGGCAAGTCATCCCACCCAGAAACAATTCGTCGCGTGCTTCGGGAACACGACTTTAATGGCAGAATACCACGCAAGAAGCCTTTTATAAGCGAGAAAAATAGGACGTGTCGCCTTAAGTTTGCCCGGGAGCACTTGTACAAGGATAACGATTTCTGGAGTACAGTATTATTTTGTGATGAGTCCAAATTTAATATTTTTGTGATGACCGGCTGTGAACGAACGCTCACCAACCAGTCAGTTCGACTCACAACTGCAAAGACTCAGAATGAGTGGCGGTGACCGAAACTTTTTGCCTGCGTGCAAGAAATGATCGATCGTCGTATTTACAATCATGCCCGCATGACCGAAATGACCAATGATATCGGCGGGTGCGCGTGCACTTGCATTTTCTATTTTGTTTCGGCTATTAGTTCAATAGTTACTTCATATACAAGTATGTAAATGCATATAAATTAAAGAAGCCAACAAAACTATTAGCGAAAAGAAATACCTTCCATTTTATTAAAATTTAAAAAAGTTAAGCTATTTTAATTTATGTATATTAATTTTATTTTTTTTAAAGATATTTGAGTTCCTTTTTGAAGAAATAAAATCATGCTAAATATCAAAATATAAATATATATATTATATATGGATACATATGTTTTCTTTTCATTGTGTACCTTTTTATTTAAAATACATACATACATATACACATGTTTCCGCATAATTGCAAACAACACATGCACGCACAAATATATAAATATGTACATACATACATGCACATTTTATACGGTCATACTCGGGTAAAACCCGCGCAATACTCGAGACATACTCGGGTAAAACCTGCGCAATACTCGAGTAATACCTGAGTATAGCTCGCGCAATACCCAAACAATTCTCGTTCGATGAAATGCTCATTCTGCAAAGTCTGGGTTGCTTCGATCAGGTCCAGTCTATATACGTATATGTATGTATATATATATATATATATATATATATATATATATATATATATATAGATATATATATATATATATATATATATATATATATATATATATATATATATATATATATATATATATATATATATATATATATATATATATATATATATATAATTAAATATTCAACGTAACATCGATTGAAAAAAAATGTTTTATTTAATATTCAACACGACATTTATTGACTTAATGGAGAATTACACTTAGGTGAACTTAACGATAAGTTTGCAAGACTCGATCCGTATGGCTCGAACGAAAATATAAGACTCAACTCCTCCAAGTTTCGCGATCGCTTAGCAAACCTCGGTTTAGAGCTTTCTTGGTCAAGAGCTTTTTCTCTTGACAATGAATTCCTTTGTTCAATTGGACTTTGGACCCTTGCTCGTCCCGAATTTGAGCCGCCTTGGCAATTGGACTTTGCTCGTCCCGAATTTGAGCCGCACTGGCAATTTGGTGAGAACATAAATTTGTTTACAGCATGAAGTGTGGGAGCCAAATTGTTATTGCTATAAATTCTCGGGAGTCTGCTTACAATCTTTTATGTACTATGATTTTATGTGTACGTGCCGCTGGCGCATTTGAAATTATACATAAGGTGCAAGAGTGGTGCCGTTGGCATATGTGAACTTATATGTGGGTGTATGGGTGTGATGCATATGTCACTTCCCCATCCTTAAAAAATTGGCCTGTCCTCAGGCTAACACTGTAGGGTACAACTTAGGGCTATTTCCTAGTGTTACAATTTCATTTTCTTGCAAGTCATTTGGATTTTCTATCTTCAATTGATCTTTTTGTTTCCTATACTTAATCATAATTCTTTGTGGTATTGCCTTGTACTTGTAGGCACAGTACAACATTGCGATTATTACAATTATTGCAAGTGTTGTTAACATAATTATTTGAAAGGTATTATAATTTTTTGTATACTGTTGTACAATTTCCTTAGTTTGAATATATGATAGTGGTTCTAATTTTGTTACATTGTTGCTTACATAGATAGTTTGTGTATAGTCCAGCGTTGTGCCAGTGATTATTATTTCGTCAAGCCGCATGGAGCAGTTAAAAGCTTTCATTACATTATTTCCTTCAATTATTATTTCTCTATCTAGACAATTTTGGTTTAGAACTGTTCTAGGCAGGTTCCAGGTAATTATTATGTTAGGCTCGATATAATTTATTTCAAAACTCTTGTGGGCTTTCGTGTATCTACACTCAGTTGTGAGTTGGTTGAGTATTCCCGTAATACACCTGCTCGTAACAAGGTTTCTGGAGTTGGCCGTGTAGGCTTGGTTATTTCGAACGAAGTATTTGTCATGTATTATTTCAGTCAATATATTATTATTTTCGTCTGGGTACGGTAGTACCTCGAAGATTGGCAGTTTAACAATTTCTCGTGGAATGTGGGACACAATAAGGATCTCATTTACGCTGGGGTTCAGCCATGTGGAGGTCTTTATGCTCAAGAGCTTGTCTGAGGTAACGTGAGTTATAGAGTCGTGTTTCAGTAACTTTGGATTGAATATACCGAGTCGTGTCAATTGCATGCCCAACTCTATGTCTTCAATGTACTCGGTGAACTGCTGCAAATTAAATATCAGCATAGCCAACCTTTGGTCGTTTTCGTTCACTTTACTCAACTGGTTCATAAGTTCTATCCCATTATTTATAGCGTCTATCACATGGTTCAGTTCGGATGTCTGCACGTTATTTTCCTGCAGGTAATTAATTTTGCTCTCTAACTCTTCTTTATCTTCCTGATCCAATGTGCCGAACAAGTATTTATACACCGTTCCCACAATGTTTACAAGGCCTCTTTTACTTCGCTTAACTATTCTTAGACCATTCATTTCTCTTTCAAGTTTTTTCCTAATATACTGAATTTGTGTCAATGTTCCGAACTCCTCAGTTTGTCTAACCAGATCTTCATACGTCTGTTCGGTTTTTGTCAAGTTCACGGACAAACAATGATATTGATAGTTTACAGGCAGATCTATTAATCCTGTTTTAAATATAAGGTAGCCATTTTTCGCATGAATAGGGTTCACTTCCAGGCTTTGGCTTCGGACGGAGCTCATCAGCAAAAACAATACTATGATTACTGCCAATTTAGTTGGTAGCTGGTGGTTCAGCAGGGGACGATCTGGAATTATCGTATTTACTCTTATTAACCTTTTTCTTTCTTTTAAACTTTGATTTATAGTGAATTATTTTTCTACCTCTGTTTGTTTCTTCAAAGTGATTGCTATCTATCTGTTTTAAGCCACCAGTTTTCTTAAATGGGGTTGTTGTTTTACTTCTTACAAGAGGGGATTCTTTATATCTTGTGTCAATTTCGTAACTATTTCGCTCTTCATTCAGTTTTTCTATCCGTTTTATCTTATTTACTTGGGTATGGTATGCCGGTGTTCCAGCATATATAAAAAT